ATCACTGTAGTAGTGCTATAACGCTGCACAGCACAATCTAAGTCCAGATACGTGCAATTCAAGTAGACTGTTGCAAAAGGAAAGAAAGAAACATAAGAAATTCGAATGTGATGGAAGTTAGATGTGTTTCTTTTCACAGACGAGATTTTGGTTTTTTTGAATTTTTTTAAAGCTTAACTTCATTACGATTCTGGTTTTGGCTTTGGCTTAACTGCTGTTCTCGCTGCAGGTACTGGTGAGTCGGGCAAGTCGACGTTTATCAAGCAGATGCGCATCATTCATGGGAATGGTTATTCCGATGAGGATAAACGTGCTCACATCCGCCTCGTCTATCAGAACATTTTCATGGCAATTCAGGCCATGATTCGTGCCATGGATACGCTCAATATTCCCTATGGCGATCAATCTTCCGAAGTACGCATTTTTTTCTCTCTCTCTGCATTTTTGCCCCTAAATTTACGTTTCTCTTTTCGCTATTTCGGAGAACTATGTATACTGCTGGGAAACTTAAGTTTTGAAAAATTGCCACAACCGTTATAAAGCGATATTTCTAAAATTAACATTCAAACCGTTTGCATACTAATCTTTAATCTCAGCTGGAAATTCTAGTACCTTATGGCATGTATATTCCAGCACCTAAAACGCTGATTCATTTATAGGTAAGGTAACATACACGTTTCCATTTGGCGTAGGTATGAAAATCCTAATTAACTATTCCTCGCACATTTACCACACAACATCTTTTAAAAATTTTTTATCGCAATCGTCGTACTGACGAGGTCTAATTGTGGTAAAGGTAAGAAATGTATACGACTTAATGGACCGAAACATTTCTTACCTATTTTAATAATTCCTTTCATGTTTTTCATCATTTTTTCTCACATTTTTTCTCTAACTCTGAGTAGCTTAAGCCTATGAATTTTGTGATTCTGTGAGCTATAACTTTTCAAGTTTTTATCCAGGCACCCGAAATAATTTTAAAACTCGGCAACTTACCCACCAGAAAATTATGGCTTGAGGGCTCGTAGTATGCGCGTTTTTAGTTGTATATCCTAAAACTACCTTATTTTGCCGTAGTGTCCTTAATATTTGCCCCTCAAAATTAGGATCCAAGCTGGCATCATAGCCTCAGATAAAAACTACAAGA